ACGCGCGTTTTCTCATTTATCTATGGACATAATGACGACAGTTTTCTGTAGATCGTTGTCGTAATTAGATGTGTTTGTGGTATAGAGTACGCATTCTTATCCCATCAGATCGCTGTTATACATGTATTGATAAGTGTCGAATCTGCAAATGTATAAGACCAAGGCACATACTGAATGCACATGGTTAACAAGTATTTGAGTTTATTAACTCTATACATCCACACTTGTTATTGTGTACATGGTTAACAAGTATATGAGTTTATACGCTCTATACATCCAAATTTGTTATTGTGTACATGTTTAACAAACATATGTGTTTATACACTCTTTACATCCACACTTGTTATTCTGGGCATGTGGAACAAGTATATGCGTTTATACGCTCTATACATTCACACTTGTTATTGCGTACGTGTTTAACAAACATATGTGTTGATACACTTTTTACATCCACACTTGTTATTGTGTACATGTTTAACAAACATATGTGTTTATACACCCTTTATATCCACACTTGTTATTATGGGCATGTGTAACAAGTATATGCGTTTATACGCTCTATACATCCACACTTGGTATTGTGTACATGTTTAAAAAACATAAGTGTTTATACACTCATTACATTCACATCAATCGACACAGAAAGCCTTTGCCGTTTGCGGAGAGCTCGGCTATAGTACATGGATTGTCAAAAGTACATGAGAGCGCATACACGTCAACACTTGCAACGGAGATGATCTGCTATACGCACACACATGGTAAACATGTGAAGCACATACATTAGCATATACGCTCTATATAGGTACATTGATCTCTATTTTATACTAGGCAATACATACATTAGTATATACACTCTTTATACGTAACATCTCTCTCTATTCTATACTAAGCAACACATACATTAGTATATACACTCTTTATACGAAACATCTCTCTCTCTCTTCCATACTATGCAGTACTTGCCTAACTCCTCTGTATATACCTTGTGTTAGTCTACCTGTCTTTTGCCGAGAGAACGGCTATAGTTCATGGCTCGCGAAGTTACACATGGGCACAGACACACCAACGCTGCCATCAACTGGCCGCGGCCCTGGAGAAGGCGGGTGTACGTCCAGGTAAAATGAATTGGTTATTTTACGTGTCAACTTGGTTTGTTTATATAGTGAAGTAGTATATATATTTAGGTACGGAGTGATGTCTATACATTGTATGCTTACGTACCAGGGTGGTGTACGTCCAGGTTAAATGAATTGGTTTTTTTACGTATCAACTTGGTTTCTTTATATAGTGAAGTAGTATGTATATTGAGGAACGGAGTGATATGTCTACCAGGGTGGTGTACATCCAGGTGTATTGAATTTTTATTTACGTGTGAAATCGGTACGTTTATATAGTGTATTTTTTTGTACGTTCTATTTCTGCATGGAATTGGTATGTTTATACAGTGAACCGGATATCGACCTCCAGTAAATTAACGTACGAGAGATACAAATATATATAGTATAATCATATACCATTCGGATGCATTTATATGATTTGATTTGCTCATATAGTATATATATATATATATATATATAATATATGTAAGGTTCACAGGTGCTGATAGTAAAACTACCAGCACTTTAACCTTGTAGTAGTGTGTGTGTTGTTTTAGTTGTTTGTTTTTGTTTTTTTATATATCGTAGTGTGTGTGTGTGTAGTTAGTGTATATATATATATATATATATATATATATATATTGTGTTTCGAGCCTGATATTTACTGAATCGGTGATTTGGAGCACTACAGTGTATGCCAAGCTACAATACAACAACACGTATGCTATAAAAGGGCATTGGCCCTATAGGTTTTACGTTCTATATTCAAAGAGTGCTGAGCGTCGATACTTTAACTGACTATTTGACTGATCCCGATTGACTCGCAATTCATGTGTTTACTCCATCAGGTCGTGTTGATTGATCGAGAGTACTCTGAGCCAATGAAAGAGGCGCTGGGGATTCTAAAAATAGAACAGCCCGACCGTGAGGTTCTAGTGGTCGATGTTGAGGACAGCGAGTATGAAGGAGAGGTGTGTGGGATAGGGTTTAGGGTTCAGGGATTATGTGCATACCATTCCATGTGTTATGCATTCTACGGTCTCCCCGTTTCCCTTGTTCCTTTTTAGGATTCTATATTTGGGTCGCTCGTTTGTCCTTTTTTAGGATTCTATATTTGGGTCGCTCGTTTGTCCTTTTTTGGAATTCTATATTTGGGTCGCTCGTTTATCCTTTTTTGGGGTGCTATATTTGGGTTTTGCTGGCCAGGTCTTCTACAGCTGCTCTCTCCGCATGATAGCACAACCAAGTTCTCGAGTCCACTCATTCATGCAATAAATTTTAACACTAAGAAAATGGTATCACTTGCTAGCGGTATAGCTACCTACCGCCTGTATGGGTGAGGCGGTGGGGGGGAGGGATCAATTCCGGAATAGAATCGAATCTTGGGCTTTGACACGGCACGTTTTGAGTACGGTTTACTCGTACCTATCAGTACCCAGCACTCGTATATATATATATATATATATATACACGTATACATGTATGTATACATATACTCGTTTCCGTATATACTTGTACTGAGATATATACTCATTCTCATGCATATATCCATACGCAGATATGTATATTCAGTCATATAGTAGATGGCTGTGCGTCCTTGCCACCATTCAAATGCGTTATTCTGAACGTTCTCGCATGTGACACTTTATTAGGGCTCTTTGATTGGTTCAACCACCTACGATGACTTTATTAGCCAATCAGATGGGGTTAAAATGCACGGCAATATGCCAGCCGACGAATGGAATGCTTATGCGGTGAACTACACTTCAGGTGTGTTGAACTAGCTATAGTCTACCGTTTTAAGGTGATCAAGTGATACTTCTATTACAGTAGATATCACCAAGGTGCTATATTGATTGCTCTTTTATATATTATAATATATATATATATATATATATATATATATATATATGTGTGTGTGTGTGTGTGTA